TACAACATGCATATTTTATAAATTGATCTGTTTTTGAGATATCTCAAATTTTACGTAAAAAATGACAAATGCAGGCCGATAAATTCTGACTATTGTTTGAGATATGTTCGCCTTTCAAGAATGACTTTCAACGAGTTTCTTATACTAGGGCATCTTCGTTAGTAGTATATATTCCGAAGTGGGATCAGAAATGGTCAGAAACAGAGAATAAAAATTCAATTTTTCAAATAGAAGCTACATTTTTTATATCTTCGTCGTATCAGGGTTATAATTTAGAAGTAATATAATGGTAAGGTTATTTTTTTTTCATATCGAAGCAGCCGCGCAGGCAGAAGCCTAAATGCCGGAATACCTCGGCTGCTATGATGATCCCAAAGAAATTTTATTAATGCGATTTTTGAACTGCCTAACGTTAATAGAACGGGGAAAAGCTTCCTCTTGTAGATTGTTCCACAATCTCGACACCCTCGGGACAAAGGAGGGGTCGTATCGGCCGGTTCTGGATGTACGAATTTCGACACGGTTAGGATGGGACGCCAAAGTCAGGTGGGTCTGTCTGGCAGGTACATCGCGCGGCGGCATCATGGAAGAGAGCTCTGACGAGCAAAGTCCGTTGGTGTAACGGTAGAAAAGAGCTAGATCGCCGACAGCCCGCCGGTGCGAAAGAGTCCCGAGACTGTCTGTTAGAGAAGAGTCATCGATCAGTCGGACGGCCCTCCTCTTGACAGCATCGAGCATGGATAATGTAGTCGGGGCGGCAGCACCCCAAACGTGTGAGCAATACTCGAGGCTAGGCCTTATCTGGGCCTTGTATAGAGTGAGGTCATGCGGAGAAAAGTACTTCTTAGCCCTAAACAAATAGCCTAGCTTTTTCCCAGCGGCTGCAGCTATTGACGAGATGTGTTCGTGCCAGATCAGGTGATCTGGACTCCGACCAGCCGAAATGAATGGCTCTTTGGCAGAACTCGACCATCCATCGAAACCGGGTGAGCGCAGGGACGCTTTTTGTTCGTCTCAAAGTACAGTACTGCGTTTTGGAAGCATTGAACTGTACAAGATTGTTTCGTCCCCAAGCAGTGATAGCCTCCAGGTCTCTTGTCAGAGAGAAAGTCATCGCTAGTCTTCTTTTTTCCAACTCAGCGGCAGAGATCGGCTTGTCACTCTGAATTCCTGCATGTAGAGTGCTGTCATCAGCGAAGCTGTGGATTGGGTTGATCGTGCAGGAAAGGAGGTTGTTGAAATATAAGAGAAACAGTGTCGGAGCCAAGACCGATCCCTGGGAACACCCGCGTTGACGTTGTGGGATGAAGAGGAGAATCCGTCAATTACGACGGATATCTTGCGGCCAGAGATAAAGTCACCCACCCATCTGCAAAGCTTTTCTGGGAGGCCATAGGATGGAAGTTTGCTTAAGAGGGCAGCGTGCCACAGCTGATCGAACGCTTTCGTGATATCAAGAGCAACGACATGAGCCTCACCATGAGACTGGATGAGTTTACTCCACAATTGCGTGACGTAAGCAAGGAGGTCCCCTGTGGATCGTTGGTGCCGGAAACCGTACTGCCTGTCGCTAATCAAGCCGTGACGTTCGAAGTAGTCCAGAAGCTCGCGATTTATGCACCTCTCCATCACCTTACTTAAAACAGAAAGCAGAGCTATAGGCCTGTAGTTGTAAGGGTCGGTCTTAGATCCTTTTTTTGGGATGGGTTGGACATGAGCAAATTTCCAGTTTTCTGGGAAGGTGCCGGATTTATAAGCTATCTGGAAGAGACGCGAAAGAACTAGAGCAAGCTCCGCTGCACATCTCTTCAGTACAATGGCAGGAATCAAGTCCGGACCAGAAGCTTTGTTGATGTCGAGCGACAAGAGCACTCGTCTTACGGTCTTATGCCTGAATGTTACCTCCCGCATAGTGTAGGGAACCCTTTCAATTGACGGCACTTCGGCGTTTGGGCGGGACGTCCATGGTGGAGTTGGCAGCAAAGATCTTGGCTAGCACTTCCGCCTTGGCCTTTGAGTTGAATACAATAGTTCCATCCTGACACGTAAGTGGTGGGAGGCTACTGTGTGAGAAGTTCTCTTCAATCTGCTTGGCCAACGTCCAAAAAGACCGACTGCCATTGCGCTGCGACATTACCCTGTGCCTAACTTTTATATCGCGCTGGTTTTTTGGCATTGCGGACCGCTGCTTTATACAGGGTGCGGCAGAGAGGATGGACGGTTTTAAAAAAATCATAAAATATATAGTTAATTTTTACTCGAAAACAAATTTATTGATGGAATCAGGTTCACAAGGAAATAGCATTTGAGACAGTCAAGTGTGGAAAATCACATCAGGCATGTGGTGGCCGAAATCGTTGATGCAGTGCTGGAGGCGTTATTGGAAGTTCGCGTAGACTCTCTCCAGCATCGGTCTCTCAACTTGGGCGACTTGCACGCGAATATCTCCCTTCAGTTCGTCCAGAGTTCGGGGCTTGAGGTGTCCCCATAAGAAAAAATCGCATATGGATAAATCTGGGGACCGAGGAGGCCAATGCACATCGCCAAACCTGGAAATAAGGCGACCAGGGAAGAGAGGGCCAATAACGTCCATGGATGCTCGGGCTGTGTGGGCGGTCGCCCCATCCTGCTGGAACCACACACGTCGGGTTGGAACACGTCGCCATCGTAATTCATGGAGAAAGAAGTTGGTGATCATGTCGACGTAGCGCTCTGAGTTCACGATAACATCACGACCATTATAGTCTTCGAAGAAGTAAGGGCGCTCCTCTTGGTCTTCTGTTGATAAGTTCGCCACGCCTGCGAAGTGATTCAACCCAACGAAGGATGGTGTTTCGAGAGGGAACAGCTCTATTCCGATGAATGTTGAAGTGGCGACGAAGCTCACGCTGTACGACGATGACTGACTCATTATTTCGGACGAAACAATCATAGGCGAAAACGCGGTGATCCACCGTCCAAGGCTCCATAACGACAACTGGTAAAATAATGCTAGCATCTCACGAGTCAAACGGCACCCTCCCCACCTCTCTCGTAGACGGAAGAGGAGAGTACTACCCATCCCAAAAACGTCCGTCCTCTCTGCCGCACCCTGTATTTGTTTCTGGACTCGACGTCGGCTTGTCTGTTCTCTACAGTGGGGTTTTATAAGAAGGTTCTGTGTGCCTTGATCTTCTGCTGGCGAGCAGCGTCACACGATTTGTTAAACATGCCGTTGGACCCTGGTCTAGGCACTTTCACTGTGTGAGGGATGTATTCCTCCATTCCGACGTGGATAATTTCGGTTATCGAAGAAGAGACAGCCGACGCATCCGCGTCAGTGAAACAGACATCTTTCCAAGGAAAGCTAGAGAAGAAATCTCTGAGCCCCTCCCAGTCGGCATGTCCGTAATGCCAAGTTTTGCGGCCTGTACGAGTTTTTGCTGCCACAGCGGGTTCTGACCGAAACCTAACCTCCACAACACCGTGGTCTGAGTTACCCAGGGGGACAGGACTGCAGTGCTGTAAGGGACAGGATGCGTGGTCAGAAACAGATCCAGCAGGCTACTGACGTGTGACGAGATGCGGAGGAAAAAAGTAGGGCTCGTCACCAGCTGAGTCAGCCCTTGGGTAAGAGCGGACGCTTCGACTACACGACCTGCTGCGTCGGTCTTGTTTGAGCCCAACCAAAGCTCATTATTGGCATTGAAATCACCGAGAAGAACTACCTCTGAAGCGGGATGATTGATGTTGAGGAAGTCGATTTGGACGGCGAGGTATTCGAGTAGGCAGCAAATAAATTTGGGTGATGTCTTGGAGTTGAGGCGAAGCCACAGAATGTTCTTCCGGTCTGATTCCAAAGAAATATCTCTGGAGCAGACAAGACTGCTGCGGTCAAAAGCCACAACTCCCCCGTTCTTTCGCAGATTGGAGTGCACCTCGTAGTTTGGGAAGTTAAGATGGTTAATCGGTGCATACTCTGAGATTTTTGTCTCCGCCAAGAAAAGCACGGCGGGACGATTGAATTGCAGGTAGTGATGGACAGCATCAATGTTGCTGTTAATCCCGCAGATGTTCGAAAAACAAATTTTATCTTCGATGTTGCCCCTCGAGCCCACCCTCCACCCGGACATTCCGAGAGTGGAGTGAGTTTACGTCCGGAGCTCTTAGCGCTCGAGGGATCCATCATCATTAATTTCTTTGTTTTGGAGGATAACCGACTGCATAGCTTAGGTGTGGAAACATGCGGACATTTATAAGACACCCTGGGAAGAGCTAGCGGGTGGTACTGCCTCGGTCGACTGGTCCTTGTCTACCACCTTCTTTTTACGTGCTAGTGATATTAAATAGACCTAAAGTGGCCCGTTGGCGGACTTGTACCGCCACCCGGCAATCGGTACTGAGGTATTCCTTAACGCGTGGACAATCACTTGTACGGGAAGAAGTTGTATACTGGATACAATAACTTCCGGAACAAGCATTTGCCACGGCCCCACTCAGTAGGGGGTATTGTTGTTGATATTGTCTACTTCGCTAATTAGTAGTTTCCGATATGTAGAAATATTCGTCTTTCTCTTGCTTAAATACTGCTTTTACAATAAGATGACTTGTATTGGCCATACGCGACGACAGCGATATATCCTCATCAGTTCGCTGCTTTACATCATGGCCAACGGATATTTTCTTGCAGCAAAATCCTTACGGAACATTTAACAGTATAAAAACCAATATTTTCTGACGACTTTACACAAAATTAACCTCATTTTCAATACTTACAACGATTTTATACAAAATGCAGTTTCCATGTGAAAAATTGTCTTTTTGATTAAAATGTGATTTTCATTATGTTTATTTTGACTACACTGAAATATGTGCTATCCGAGTTTATAATAAAATGTACTAAAGAAGATCCCCTACTATGAGAAACCCGTTGCATTTGACATTTTTTACGCAAAATCTGAGATATTCCAAAAACCGTATAGGATTATATACATGGAATGAATTTAAAATCTCGAGTTGAATCCAAAAAATTTAAAAAATAGTCAACCGAATTCTATTTTATAATTTTCATAACTGTCCACGTTAATTTTTTGACCTGGGAGACTGTATATACTACAAATATAGAGGGTGCCTACGTTCAACTTATTGTCTCGTTTACTCAAGGTCGCAATATTTATTTTTTATTGGAAATTATTATGGAGGGAGGATTTTTAAGTAAGAAAGGTAGGTATTTGAGCCCTAACACAAAATAGTTCGGACATTATCTAATTTTACCTGAAAGTTTGTTTATTTTTTTAAAGTTACAAAATATTTTTTTCTTTTATAAGACATTGAAATATATGGTTTGGTCATCATATTAACAACATTATTATCAAGTTATATGATATTAAACTATGAAACTAAACTAATACTGATAACAACGCAATATTTGGCCGACCATTTCAATAGCTCGTTACGTCTCCCTTTACCTTAATAAAAGCATTCATTCTGGCTTGCATAGTTTTAAAATGTTTTCGCAGTCTTCCGCCTTCAAAGAATCCTATATATTTTGTAATTTTACTTTTAAATCAGAGATGTTTTGTTGTGGATCATTTCTTAACTGCTTCATTTTGTGCCATACAGTTTCGATAATATTTAAATCAGAAGGCCAGTCAAGGGCGGTAATATTATTATCCTGCAACCATTTTTTCTTCTTGAAAAATCAAGTTTCTATCAGGTGATAAAATTGGAATTGACCCCAGCAAATTGGTTTCAAGGATATCTTGATATTTAGCTGCGTTTACAATTCCATCTATGAAGTGAAGTTTTCCAACGCCAAAAGCAGATATGCTTCCCCATATCATTAAACCTGATGGAAACTTTACTTTTCTCTTTAGACAGTCTTCAAGAAACGCTTCATTTTTGTTTCTTATAGCCCGGGATCGCTGGCCACCCACACAAACATCAAATTTCGATTCATTGCCAAAAATGATCTTTTTTCAGTCTTTTTAAATCCAAATTGCCCGTTCCTTAGCCCATGCTAATCGGCTTTTATTTTGTTTCTCTGTAAGCAGCGGCTTTTCTTTTGCCTAAAGCAAAGATTTTACTAAATAAATATGCCATGTGTAACCTTCGTACCTTATAAAAATGTAAACCGGACTTATGAGCCTACCGACGCGACGGTAAGTTTCTCGTGAAACACTTCCTGCTGTTTCTTCATTCCATTTGCTGTTATGTCCCTTACAATACCTCGACGACTAGCTTTACAAATACGAACAAGAAATCTTTGCATTCTAGAACTGATCTTGCGTGAGCTACAAACACCGTGTCTTGAAACTTGAGTTGAACCTGCGTCTCCATACTTTTTGACAATATCTACCACTGTAGACTTTACGACATTCATTTGTTTAGCAATATCCCGAAAATTCTTTCCTTAATGAAACAATTTTCTAATTAAAACTCTGATTCCACCGTTTGTTGCTTTACCACGCGATATTTTAACGCAAATTGATTCACAGAATTGATTCTTAAATCAAAACGTCAAATTGGCTGTTTTTTGTTTCCATGGCCTGCTATTATTTCTTTTTAATACCTTGTCCGAACATTTGTGTATTTTGTTGTTATCAATATGAATTTGATTTTATATTTCAATATAATATTACTTGAAAACAGTTTTATTAATATGATGTGCAAACAATGTCATTGTCTTATAAAAGAAAAACAATCAATTTTTAACCTGAGAGAAATAAACATATTTTTAGATAAAATTAGATAATGTCCGAGCATTTTTAAAATGTTAGGACTCGTACATCTATTTAGATTTAATAAATGCATTGCGATAATGCATTTTATCGTAAAGTAAAATGGCGGGCTGAGAAACAGTTCGCTAACAGTAAGGTATGTCATAGATCAGAAATGAACTAAGTTATAGATATTTTTCAACTCCAATATGCCCAAGGTATTGTTCATGTATATGATCATTTCTCGTCTACTTCGTATTGAGTTACTGTATGGTACAACATGCTTCTTCTATCAGTTGTATGTTCCATCTGGCAATGAGTCGAGTCAGTCGACGTTTCTCCAGGCGTTTTCTAACGACGCGGGTATGGAAACAAATACTGGACTTATTCTCCTTCGTTAAAGAGAACATTTCTAGATCTAGTTCTGGCTGAGAAATTCGCGTTTCAACCGGGCAGTAAAGCTCAGACATAGCGCATTTTTCAATATCTGTGATGTCTGATACCGTTGCTTTTTGATATCACTGATTTAAAATCGTTGGGTGATCGCAACTTTCGAATAACGATGGATGAGTCTCGAACGACGTTTCGCAACGTAAAAGCCATAACTATTTCTGACAGCGTCCGATATTTTTTGAAAGCTGAGTGTTATATTATCGTATTGTGTGTAGTAACGTACAGAATATGGTATTTTCAGTGAAACAAACAAGTCGTATTTCGTAATTCGTGATTTAGAAATATTGGTTACCAAATCACAGTTCGTGAAATATTTGCCATCACTAGTAAAGCTTAGTTTCAAATGAATCTTGCGAATACTATTTTTAGACACTATCGCGTTTTTTAATATCGTTCTGCAAATATAAGTCCCATCTTTGGCACCTTGGCCCGCTTTTTAAAAATTAAACTCCACCAAGCATTTTAATACGGGAGTGGTGGTTACAAAATTTAGGTATGTAGGCATGTTGGTTGTGAAAATACTAACTCTAGCGCACTGAATTCGTCTAGAGAACGAATTGATGGTGTCACTGAATTCTGTTAAATCTTTTATGCTTAGATATCTCAAAAAACTCAAGGTATCTCGTACTTTCTGGATATAGGAATACCAAGGAAGCTGATCAGGACCATGTGAATTTCGTTCTTTGGACCCTTAGCAACGACACTGTCGAGACGTTTTAATGCTTTTTGGTGGTCTCTGTGTATAGTTGCATCTTTAATACTCGCGTAATGTACCTATGTAAAAAATAGGGTCATGTATCAAATGCTCTTAAGATATCGCACCTAGAGGGGGGTATTCCATGTATCTGTTCTACGGTAAGAGATTCAAAGTCGATTAAATAAGAATAAATTTGTGCATTTGGGTAGCGAAGAAAATGGCACTTAGAAGGTTTTACAATTCCAAGAGATGGAAAAACATTACCAATGTTTCTCCTCTAAGGTGGTATAATTAGAATTTCAATATGACGTTTCGTCTCCTGTCCTAAAACAAACACATTATTTTTTCAATGGCATCATATTGGATTTCTGCACAGGTGAATAGTGCTTTTAATTCTGATTTCAAAAATCAATAATGTTAGATATTGACTTGCCAAACAGTAATAAGTTCCTAAATAGACTATCAGATAGTCTTTTGTTTCTTATAATGAGCCAAGCATTCGTTCAGTTTTTATATGGTAATTACCTAAGTAGACTTTGAAAGAAGCAGATAGTTTGTTTCTTATCATGAGCCAATCATTCCATGTTTTTATGAACTAAGCATAGGATGGATTGATATTATAAAACCTCAAATGTCTAAAAAAGTAATCTCCCTATAGTTGGTCTTAACTCATCGAATGAAGGACAACATAATGCTAAAACTTTTTCATATGATTTGAGGGTAGTATAAAAAACAGTGGTACCTTATACAACTGATAGAAACATTTTAGACTTGACTCGTTTTCTTAGTTATCCAAATGCGCACCTTTGTCTCAACTTAACCAACTTCTCTTACCTTTTCAGCAAATCTCAAAGATAAGAGTCGAATTTGAAAGTCGGTACCTACCCAAGTTAGGAACTCTTCGAGTTTTGTCCATTGCCGATCACTTGCAACTTCTAGTTGCTGTGTCCAAGGTTCATATCTCGACATGTTTAAAAATTAGTCTGAACTATAATTTAGCGCATATCGCAAATACTTCATTTCTTATTTCAAAATGACGGATTAGGATGTAACTTGTACGAAAATATAATTTTTTTTAAGGAATCCTCTGCTTGCTATTTTATAGAACTTCAAAGTTGCATTTTGGGTGGTAATACTTTATAAGCTGCTTTTTTCTTGTTTACACATAAGATTGCTCAAAGATATATGAATATAACATACACTGTATATTACTGTGATACTGTTCATCGCAATAATGCAATTTTGCATTATTTTAATTATGAAAATAGTTCATTGTGCATTTCTTCTATTTCTGATAAATTTTTCCATCCCTACACCGCCATCACTATCATAACTTCTGCATCTAGTCGCGATGTTGCCGAATCCTGATTTGGTTTGTCAAATTCTTACTTATATACTAACGGAAAGATAAGCAATCTGCACAGGATTGTCATGAAAATACGTTATGGAGGTGTGGCCGCCAGGTTTTCCTGTACTAAATCTACCGCGTGCCCTATGATAGCGGCAATAGCTACACTTTTTTGAAGAATGCCTTCACAAAAATTCTTCGGATATTCTTTTTCCTAAATTATACTTATAATCTATTTACTTTTTGTATGTATGTGCTAATTAAATATGATATATATGATCAATTACTGAAAAAGTAGCTACTGCTCACTAAATAATAAAAACATAAAAGCGAGCCGCTGATGCATTTTCCACTGTTTAGATACGTACTGTTCAAAATTTTATCTAATTTTAAGTAAATATTGGGACAATTTTTCTCAAACAAGCCATTTACAATAAATTAAGACTTTTATTTTGCAAATAACCTCATTTTGTTATTACGTATTTCTCCCAAAATAAGTGCAACTTGGCAACAATGGACATCATTTATCTTATCTGTCAACTAATGAACGGTATAAAAGGCCATTGAGAATTGTTTGTACTTCCAAATATTTCTTATAAACGCAAAAACTTTGATCTCCTTGAAAGTACGCGATAAAAATGGTTAAGGAATTTCATCACTCTACATAGTTTACCAAGTAAACACCATCATTTACGTATGAATTTTGAACTGTTATTTTAGCTAATAAGCTAATGTGTAATAACACGGCTGGTTTTAAACATTTTTTTGCAAAAAACAACGATCTACATGGTATCCTTAAAGTTGGGACCTAAACTTTAAATTCCAACCCTGCCTCCCTCCTCAACAAACGATATTC